AATATTTGTACCAAAAAACATGTGCCGATTGAGAAATGGAGAAAACAAAAGTATATCAACCACGTGGTGGTAGTGTACCGGTCAGGGCACAAGTGTGACGCGTAAGCAACCTTGCATATTTTGAAAATAGAACGATAAAAACTGTTTAGAACAACTTAAAACATAAGACGAAGAACATTTAACTCCATTAGCACTAATTCAACATGAGACCATTCACATTTTAAGTCGGGTTTAGAATTACACCACTGTGACTCGAAAGTTAATTGGACCATATTTTGGTGAAAAAACTGGATAAAGAGTAGACTTGATACTAACACAGTTATTTTTGGGCAACAAAAATTCAAATGACACTTGTTTGGCACTGCACTGAACAATTTCTTCTGACACTCACCACGGATTACAGACAGCGTGTAATATCCGAGAAAGACTCCAACAGAATGGACGAGAAATGGTTTTTCCTTCAGCTGGAAGGACGATAATCATTTCCGGATTTTTTCAGTGTGGCCATAATAAAAAATTAAGTACCCAATAAATATTTGATGTGATAGAATAATGTCTCAATTCTGACAGTATAGCCAGAAGCACATACTGATGCCACGGATATGATAGTTGATAGCTGGAAACGCTGGTTTATGAACATTCCCGCCATGCTGTGCGACGCTGCGCGGTCCATCAAGGACACTATTTACAACCGACAAAAATGTAGGGAAACACATAATACATACACATAAGACACTATCTCTCCAGTACGTAACGTACGTAATTTTGTTTTGTTGTTGATAGTTGCGACTTCAGAGGAACATTTACCTGGCCATACTGTCCCGCTTGGTAGTTGTTACTCGTAGCAGCAATGACTCTAGCGGTGGTACTGAGGCAAAAGAAAACGCGTGTGGGAGCATTTTTCATATTTTTATGTTAGGGGTTGCAACACAAAATAGTCTTCCGCAACAGCCCCACGCAACCGAGGACACTCGGTTTGTTTCGTTAGCCTTAGTTTGTGTTCCTCAATTTCTGGTCACGTCGAAATGAAATAAAGTCTACAATTTAAGATTTACTTATTTATATATTTAGATTTACTTATTTATTTATTTAACTGCCTCCGTGGCCGAACGGTTACCATGCCGGACTGCCACGCAGAGGTCCCAGGTTCGATTCCCGGGCCGGGAGAAATAGTTGTATGGCCTGCAATTATTTCTCTCGTGAGTTTGGGTGTAATTTGTGGTTGTCTATATGTGTGTCCATGGCACCCGCGACACAGGGTTTCCCTAGTGCGGGGCTATGTTGAGTGTGTGCGTTATTTATTTATTTATTTATTTTCTAAATTTAAAATGTTGGCGTTATTTATTTGTTTTCACAAGTTACGTTAGGTGTATTTTTTTAATATGAGTGGCAGTAAAGAGCACACCGAGTTTGACGCCATGAACTGTTCTTGTTGCAAGAGGTGTAAAGTTCAAATTTAAATCATAAGTGTCAAGCTTGACATGTTCTTGCCCCTGCATCACACTAGTGAATGTGAATGTGAATGAATTCGTACAGGCTGTATATTGTAGAATATCAATGGAACTTTGTTATAGTTAACATGTACGTAAATATTTTGTTAGTAACTACACTATTGTATTAGGTTATACCTGTAATGATAGTTGTAAGAGGTAAAAATAAATAAATAAATAAATAGTTGTCTGAACTACCACGGGCAACGAACATTGCAAGTTTGCATTGTCTAAATAAAATAGCTCAGAGATGAAGGAGTTGTAAACCATACTCGAATCATACATATCATGAAAAACAGATTGTCTATGGCAAGGTGAACGATCAATACGATACCTCCCTTGAACACTACACCAACTTTATTTTTTGGTCAGTTTCTATTATTTTTGTATACAGCCATTTTTATTTAGTAATATTATCCTCCCCGAATTTTATGGAAAAAAAATAAAGAAACAAAACACAAAATAAAAATAACTAAAAAATGAATTTTGTGAAAAAAAACCTAAAGAAACAAAAAACAAAATAAAAACAGAACAGGTCCAAAAATGAAGTTGGCGTAGTGTTAGTTGGAGGTATCGAATATAGTTGTTGAACCTTGGCGACAAGCTAAAATATTTTCCAAAAAGATACGTTAGCTAGAGATGTTTTGCTGTTTTTCCCACACCACCGAATGGAACAGTCCCATTGTTAGAGATATATTATTGTCTTTATTACCATAAATACGGTACATTTTTGGAATATACAGAGCCGTACACACAGGTCAGATGTTGGCGCTGTCTTTATTTCAGTGCAAACGAGATCACTGATGAGTTACCAGTAATGTATGGCCCTTATTTCATCTCTATTTCTGGTTATGTACTCGATCCTTCTAAATCATAGATTTTTTTAAATTTCCTACATGAAACGGCAATTTAATTTTTTTTGAAGTCTTGTGCTTATTCAAATAATATGGATGATTTGTGTAGGATGCTTCAGTATATAAAAAATAATTTTCTTATAAAGTCATGGTGTCAAAAATTTAAAGAAAACGTATTGTTTTGTAAACTTAGCATACTTTTTATCTTACACTGTCGCCAGCAGAGTAGGTGCATACAATTTTGTTGTATGGTCCCTTGATCAACAAATATCTTTTTTTCTTATTAATTAAATGAAACAGTTGGGTACAAATAATTTACCAACAACAGGCATATAGTATTCGTAAAATTTAATATAGTTTTGGAACAATTATTGGTCATAAAATTAATTTCAGTTAAAATACACTCCCGGACACATATTTCGAGCTACCTTGCATTTTTAATATTATGCCCTAAGCTTGAAAAATATGTTTGATTGATGAAAAACTATTAATGCAATTTTGAAACTGGTTTACTAAACGTCATTTCCGTATGTCCTTGTTGAAAATTTGATTTTGTGAAACCAGGGAAAAACGAGTTTACGTGTCACGAGTCTTGAACTCACCTTTGTCAAATGGAACTGTAGTAAAGAAATTTTAAAGAAAACAGTGGCTTATCGGAAAAAAATTGTCTATTCAGTAACTTGTATTGCCTACAAAAGCGTTGACAACGGCCGCTGTGCGATTTGGCATAGAGTTAATTAACGTCAATATGAAATGCTGTGGAATGTTCTCCCATTCTTCCTCAATGGCAATTTTCAACTCCGGTAAGGTTTGCGGGGCTGGGTGGTGAGCACGAACACGCATCTTTAGTTCGTCCCATAAATGCTCTATTGGGTATGAACCCAATAGAGCATTTATGGGACGGACATTTATAGTCCGGGCTACGTGCTGGCCATTGAATGGTAGTAATACTGGCGTCATGAAGGTATTCCGTGACGACACTTGCAATATGCGTTCTTACGTTGTCATGCATGAGAATAAAATCTCGGCCTACAAAGCCAGCATATGGCATTACATGAATTTGGAGGCACTGGCGAATGTATCTGTCGGCATTTAATGGTGGCAGCCGCGGCCCCGTCACAACCTCAAGCGCAGTTTTGCCTTCGGTGGACATTCCTCCTCAGACTGTCCATGAACCCCCGCCACACCTCAGTTTCTCTTCAATGCAACACTGCACAAAACGCTCTCCTTGTCTTCGGTAGACCTTGTTCCTTCCATCATTACCATAGACCATAATCTTAGTTTAATCAGTGAGGAGTACCTGGCTCCACCGACGTGGAGTCCAATGCAAATGTTCTCGTGCAAATTGGAGTCGCGCCATTCGATGAGCTCGTGTCAATTTGGGCCCGTTAGCTGCCTTATGTGGAGTTAGACCACGTTCCTTAAGTCTCCTTCTTACAGTTCTAGCGCTAACAGCCACTCCATGAAAGTCTCGAAGCTGTTCTTGGATCTGTACTGAAGTCAGTTGACGATTTCGTGAGCTCGTCGTGAAGATAAATCGATCTTGCCTTTCCGTTGTCATGAAAATCGAAATCGTGGTCTTCCTTGATGGCGAACATAGCCGCTAGTCTCTAAGTACCGATGGTTATAACCTTTCAACAGCGGAACGACTTAAATGCAGTTGTGTCCTTACATTACGCTGACTAAGTCCAGACTGCAAAAGTGCCACAGCTTGTGCGGCTACTTCAGGTGCAGTGTTCATAATTCCTTCGAGAAATTTGATTAAATTTAGAGTAAAAACAATGTAAAAATAAAAAAAACCTTATTGTTACATAAAACAATTAAATAAAAAAATATTGAAATTATTTCGTTTTGACTTGCACCTTACTCTCCCTTATTTCTTTAAAAACAATGACGAATCACAACTTTTCTCCGTTTTTCAAATTCGTAAATTCAAGTTTGGAACAACGACACACCATAATAACGGGGGAACTTGTCAGCATTAAAACTTCATAAAAACTTTTTCTTTAATAAAACAATATTTTTATATTTTAGGTCTTTCAAGATAAAAATTCAAGGTGGCTCAAAAGTTGTGTCCAAGAGTGTATCTTTCACTAAGCGTAAGACCTTAGCAAATATCCTTTTTTACCGAAATCGTTGTAAAGGTTTCATCTAATAGTAACATTGAACATCTAAACGGCACTTCCGGTGTTGCGTTGCCATATTTTACGTTCAAAAATAGTAAATTCTGACATTGTGAAATAAACCGCAATAAACCTCTTTGTTATTTTCACGTTATTTTTACTTTCTCTTATATTGGTTCTTTTTATACATAGTTTTAATATTTTAGGTGCATTTGTAAACCACAATAATGTCGGCATTCAGCAAAGTAAAAAAAAATGTGTAGAAAAACCGGCACAAATTCTCTACACTAGGCTTATACATTCCGAACGAAAAGAAAAGTCAAATGTCAAATTTTCCTTCCCCCTCTCCACTTCTCACACCTAAAATTTCATTTTCAAGGCGATGCGAAGTAATCGGAATTGAAACAATTGAAAATTGCTAACTAAAACTTGATAATGGGAACTAAATTAAGTTAACGCAGTGTGTTAATTAGCATGACGAGTTGGAAATAATATCTGTATCTCAAATAGTGTTGTGGAATCATTCTATCATCATGTTCAAGAGCCGAGGTGATATTGTTTATAAATGTACTGTGAGACTTTTAGAGGATACTGAGATATTAGAATGTGAATTTCACGTAAGTTATTTGTTAATATTGAATGCAGATTTTGTGAATTTATTAATCAGTCACTTCACTTCACTTTTTATTGTATGAATGCTTTTTACGAGTTAAATATTTATGTCAAAAAATTCAGTTCAGAAATACTTGACTATTTCACCGAATTGCTGCGGAATTTATTTTTTAAATTCTTTTGCAATAGTTTCGTTCGCTTATAATAGTATTACTAAACCACAGGACTTTTGTCTTTATAAGATGTCTTTAGCTTAGTATTCTTTTTAAAAATTTTGACTTTTCGCTAGTAGCATTTTCTGAAGAGTTCAATGTTGTTGTTGCTTCAGACCCCTCAGAAATTTATTTTTCATTTGCTTTATTTGAATTTTACAATTGTTCCAATAAATAATTTGTTACACATCAAACTCAGCGAAGATGATCATTTGCAATATTAAGAGGCATTAATCACGAATTTGAAACACATAACTTAGGCGCCGGGCCCATTATTTATAATATTATTTATTTGTATGGAACTTTGGGTGTTCGTTTTTAGCTTACAGAAAATATTTTAAGTCATATTCTTGTGCCATCAATTATAGCCATGAAAATTTAAAATGTTAACAATTTTTTGTAGCATCATTTTCTTAACGCCAAGCTTCTGAGCTATTGGTGCATAAGGAAGTTGTTTATAGTAGTATGGACCTCTCTCATTTGACCGTATTACTTGACGTTGTAATTTTTTCTTTCATCAGTTACTACTACTGCCATCAAAAGTTTCTCTTAACAGTTTGGACTTTATGAGAATATACTGTAAGAATTTTATAGTATCGTCTATTTGTAAACACTGTTATTTAAACATTATGTTTCCTTTACCTTAAAAATTTGTCAATGTTTAGGTAGCTAAAATATTATTATTATTTAGTAGCAGTAGAGCTCCTTGTGAAAGAGTTGCATTCAGGGAAGTACTACCACTGTACCTATTTCTGCCAAGCAGTAATGTGAGAAGAGTGATGATTGCAGTGGCAGTGCTCTTGAGATCGTTGTGAGTTAAAGCTCGGAGTGGTATTGCAAGTGTTATGGTCAGGCGAGACTTGTTCATCTCATGTTTGTCTGGTCACTTGGCGTTATAAAAGAATATAAAACGTTTTTGATTACAGCCAAGTTATAAAGGAAAATATTTGCTCGACCATGTATGCTCTCAACTAAATCTCACAGAGACAGACTACTTTGGGCTGCGTTATGTGGACGCTGGGGGTCAAAGAGTAAGTTTTTGAAATAAATATTCTTGCTATTTTTTAAGAAACTTCCATTATGTGACTATAAAAGACTAATTTCAATAAGAGCATTTCCAATTTCTTTATAAGGGCTCCATTGATTTTCACATGGATTCTGCCAATGTCAGGGTTGAAAAAAAATTTTTACATTAGTGTGGCTATGTACGGTTGGATAGCCGGCAATCTGTTGGGTATGATGAGAATCTCAAAAGGGACAACACAAAAGCACATATTAGACATTCACATCACATGTGTATATAAAAATAAAATAAAAGGGGGATGGGTTTAGAAATATATAATAATATATTGAAACTACATACACAAGAGCATTTCTCCAGAGAGAGCATTTCAAGAGAGTCTCCATTGGAGAAGAAGGCTAAAACTGTATTACTATTCTTGGAAAAGATTGGGTGACATAGGTAAGACCCCTGCACCTGCCATATGCAGTAGCTTGTTACACCGTACTATGCAAACTACTCCACTGTGAGATCCTGTTTCAAATTACGAGAGATTGGAGGGAGGCTCTCACGGCATTGTTACTTCAGGTAGAACAAACTATCCACAATGATTGACATTACAAGACAATTACATATACAGCTAAATGTTTCAGGTCTTAATAACAAAGAAGATAAACTTTAAAAAAAATAAAGCAACAAGTGCAGTGTCACATGAAGCTTACACTTTGCACCATTTGTATTATATAGTGGCATGAAATTTAATGCCTTATTTAAGTTTAAAAATTGGGCATGCTGTTTACTCTATACCCAACTTCATAAGTAACAAAAAACATAATTTTGTTTTTAGCAGTTTTTAAATAAATTGTAACAGGTAACCGAAGTTAGTGAATTCTAGTAAAAACACACCAAAAACTTTTAATATATCAATATAGTGCTGAGAAATTTAATTCTTTTTTAGCTGGGAATGGGATGTGTCTGTGGACAGAGAAGTATTGAATTCAGGAAATGGGCAGGAATATTCTTCTGTATTAATTAAATTTTTATTGAATTGATATTCAATTATTTTTTTGTGAGATTACTCCACTAGTTTGTTATAATTATTAATACAAAGATCGAACACTCAGAAAATTTCTTCCGACCGGATCGAAGGAATTTTTTCTGAGTGCTTTTTCTGAGTGTTCGATCTTTGTATTAATAATTATAATATCCTTCTGGGTAAATTTTCTATATGAAGACCAAAATTGTAAACTAACTTAGGTTAAGTTACAATCCAATAAATATAAATGTGAGATTTAATTAATGTTTAATTTGTGATTGTTACAGCACTGGTTGCACATGGCAAAGTTGATACTCAAACAAGTAAAAGGTAAGCGCCTGATCAAACATATTTTGTTCAGCACCAATCAGTGGGTGTTGTGCGCACATAGTTCAGAATTTACGCTGTAGGTAAGATAAGAACACGACTCAAGCGCGCACATCTGAGCGAATATTTATACTCAATTGGACATATCAGCAATTCTCAAGCAATTCTGTAGCCATTGGTCAAATTTCTTTTTTGTATTTTGACTTTTTACTATGAACACCAATGTGATACTTCTCAGTCATTATCCAGCTTGTTGTAATTGTATGTATTGCTGCAAAGTGTAAGCTGCAATATTAATACCGTAGTTCCAAATTTTACACATTTCATACTGATTGTGTTATTACAGTTTTAAAAAGTGATGGCTCCATTTTTAATTTGTAAATTATAGTTTAATTAATTAAGATTATATCCATTGTCTTATAGATGCGTCACCAATACTATTCAGTTTCCGAGTCAAGTTTTACCCGCCGAATCCATTGCTCCTGAAGGAGGACGTGACTAGGTTCCAGGTCTACTTGCAGTTGAAACGGGACTTGCTCCACGGACGATTGTATTGCACGGCAAATGAAGCAGCTATGCTAGGAGCACTTATTATACAGAGTAAGTTGATGAGTTGAAGTTTTGATACAGTACTAAGGAGGCAGATGCTTTCAAGTTTGCCCTCCTCGTAGGTGTCCCTGCAGCAATGACAAGTGCACTTTTCCTCCAGACTCTTTTCTCTTATCTAGCGACGGCATCATCCGTCTGCCACACAGTGAACACGTCGATATTATACAAAAAAATAAACAATCACCTAAAAATTATAATGTAGTGTGAATGTGATGTACGTAGATAGGAACGTAATTCATTTTAATTGTACGGAAATGCCACCCTGAATTTACGCCGCCGCCGGTCGCTACTATGTCCTGTCCTATCTCCAAATAAACAGTAATAGAGGCTCTACAGCTGACTTAGTTCTTGGTTCTCGGTTTTGACTACTCATTCGAAATCGAAAATCTAAGTTTTATTTGAGATCCGTCTTCGAGACCACTCCCTGTGCGAATGTGGTCTGGCAGAAGTTTCCCTCGAGCACCTGTTATTTGACTGTAAACGTATCGTCACTCCTCTGTATGAGATCCTCCCTCCTAAAATCACCGGTCCCGTTAATATCAACTTCCTTCTAACGTTAGTCCATTCTTTCTTTGTGCATGTGCTGTGTAAATTTATTAAAAATAAACAATTTGTTTCTGTAATAGTCTGTGTTAGTTCTCTGTCATTGTAGACTCAAATTAGAAAGATATGTTGTAGATTTGTAAATTCTCCTCTCAGTGAATTCTGTCGAAATTCACCGGTCAATTTTTAAGTTAAAACGCGTGCGTTCCTCAACTGGACATTGGCGAAAATCATCGATTATTTTAACGGGGCCATAACATTTAAAAGAAGAAGTATTATTTGACATACAAACTACGTTTTTGTCTTTTACACATTAAAATTTGTAACTTACGACTTTGGTCGTAATGATTTTCAGTGATTTTTACACACATCAAAAGTGTCTAGGGATCAAGCACGTTTTTGCTAATTACTGATAATCAGGGTTTTTAATTAATTTTTTTTAACACCAATGGATTATTTTTGGTCAATTTAATTTTCAATTCGAATTATGAAATTGACTAAAAAATATCGTTGGTGTTAACGTCGAGTATAGAACCAGAAATAGAGAAGAAATAAGGGCCATCCATCACTGACAATTCATCAGGCAAATGGGCCTTATTTTTAATGGGCCTTTTAAAATTATCAACTCTAGTTTGCGTTGAAATCACAAATTAGAAAGCTGAAATAGTAAAGCGCCAACAACTGACTTGTGTGTACGTCTCCGTATATTCCAAAAATATTCTGTATTTATTGTAAAAAAGATAATATCTCTAACAATCGGGGCTGTTCCATGCGGTAGTGTGGGAAAAACAGCAAAACATCTAATTACAAAACAAACGAAATCACATTTCATCGGTAATTAAATATTAAATTATGTAATTTTTCAATATTCCTCCATTATAGCAAAGCTTAACTTAAACTGGTCGATTTGAAGTGAAACAATTGACGACATCCATCATTTATTTCGAATTAGGGTTGGCCAATCGAAGTGCAGTTGTCACCGTAATGATTTGGCAGAATAGTTTTCAAACAAATTAAACGACATTTCGCCTCTATTTCTGGTTATATACTCGATAAGTGTTAAAAACGAAATGAAATACCTAACCTGATTTTTAGTAATTGGCAAATACGTGCTTGATCCCTAGACACTTTTGATGCGTGTATTATTATTAGCATTGCTGTTGTAATTAGTTGTCATTTGTTTTCAGTTGAGCTCGGCGACTACGATCCGAACATACATGTGGGAAATTATGTATCTGAAATGAGATTACTGTTAAGGCAAACGGATTCAATTGAAGCTAGAATACAGGTAATAATTTATGCTATAAGTGGAGTAAAATATGGATGTCAGCTTCTGTATGTCGAATTCGCCGTAATCTGATTACTCCAACATACAATTTTGATGAAAAACGTTTTTTACTGACATACATTTTACAATTATATAATTTTACAATTTTTCGATTGAAATTTTTTTATTTTATTTTATGATGTAAATAATTGCTTTCAAAAATGTTGTCAAAAATGCTTAATTATCACATGGAAGTCATAAAGATAATATGAACTACATGCATGAATGAAATTTTGTCTCTCCTATTTAAGCATAAAAACGATAAACATCCTTATATACTATATATAAATATAAAGATAAACTTTAAACGTCACTCCTGAAAGGTCGTAAATTGTCATTTTGCAAATGTGACCTTGTTAGTTATATACTGTTCTAACGGACAAAGTGTGCGAGTTACATATTTATGGAGTAAAAAGTACGTATTGCTGATGCTGTATTTGCCGTAGTCCGATGATGTCACAAGTCACGCTATATCATTAATTGAAAAAGTTCATACAAGCTATAAGAAATATTCTGAAAAAAATAAAAATGTTGATTCCCTCTCAAATAAAATTTTTCTACAGATGGAATTTTTTTCGCGGACATAAAATAATTTTTTTTCAGTCTTATAATGAAAGCTTACTAGCTGGAATAAAGTTGGACCAGCCGACTAAATACGAAAGGCAGGACAAGTTGATGATTACAGCTCTTTTTCTATTTATTATCTGTTAAAACTTTGGACAGCGTTGCCGTTTCTGTTAATCAGTTGACAACATTGAAACAACTGTTTGACTAAAAAAAATTTATTAACAGTCAAAAGTTTGAGTGTTGCCTTTTAAACAAGACGTGTTGCAACACTGAGAAAGAAGACAGAATATCAATCCACCAAGATATCATTCATCTTACGTGTTCATCCGGCGATTTATTACACATTGTGTAGTTCACTATAGTCGTCACAAAATAATAGATCATATTTGACACATGTCATCGCAACGTAAATAGTGATGTGAACTGCAATATCGGTAACCAGTTTAAACGATTCTCACGAGAAATCGATTAAAAATTTTAGGAGTTTGTAATCGTTTAGGTTATTTTTCTGTTCATTGCTTTTCAGTTCTAGATATATCAATCAACATTTATTTAAACGTTATACAGTTTAATAGAAATAATAAGTAAGTATTTTAAGTGAGCACAACGGCAACCTGTACTTGTTGTTGTATTGTAGTTATACATTAGCATAGTTCACGAGGATAACCTGTACGTAAATAACAAAATTCTGAAGTAAAACAAAAGACCTCCTTATTGGAATTTTTTATTTATCAACGTCATCGGAAGATGAACCAAAACCATCTGTTGAGCTAGTTTCACCAGTCCATATAATTAACTCGTTTTCAATTAAATTATCAATATTAACATCTCTGTCAAAATCTTCTTTTATTAGTTTTCTAGTTTTTTCCACCACCTTTCTCCAGTCTTCCTTTGTTACTTTAGTACATGCTTCCTTTAATAAAGTCATCATTTTTTTTGTGGAGAACGGTGGCTTAGTATTATTACGTCCTGCGTAGCCTGTAAAAAAAAACACTGTTGTAAAATAGTAATGTTCCTTCACAGTGATATTACAAATTCGAAAGTTTTTATGTTACCTCTTTACATTTGTACTTTATTAAAATATGCTACTAGTACAAAATAAGTCTTAATATATACGAATTTAAAATAACAGTATTAAATGCAAAAATATTAACCTTTAATTTGAGCCCAAATCAACTCAATAGCATTGTATTGACAGTGGTACGGCGGTGTCCTTATAATTTTATGTCCATGCTCAAGTGCCAATTCATCAATTTCATACCTAAGTTTTGTAGGTCTATGCTCTCGCACTAATCTTAACAATTCCACTTTCAATAGCTCCATGTCAGCTTCGACACCATTCCTCTGTAGCCATGCCACCAAATCAGCCTTTTTATTTGCCTGAGTCGGCGCTCGATCTATTTGAACCGAATGATACGATGCATTGTCCATAATTATTGTACATTGTTCGGGGAGGTTCTGAAGTAAAGTTTTAAACCACTCTTTAAATTTGTTTGCGTCCATTTCTTCGTGATATTCTTTTGTACTTTTTGATTCAAATGCTAGTAAAGCATTATTAACGAAACCTCCCCCGGCTGATCCAGCATGGCAAATTATGAGGCGACCACCTTTTCCCATTGGCACTTTCGAGCTGGATGCTTTAGTGTCGTCGGTCCATGATTGTGGTACTGTGTGGTTTGAGTTCAACCAAGTCTCATCGATAAACACAACATTATCCCAATTTGTAATTTTATTCATTTCTCTCAAAAATGAAACTCTTTGTAATATTAAATCATGTCTTTCCATCATAATATTTCTTTTGTCAGACTTCTTGTATTTAAAACCAATTTTTTTCAAAATTGTAATCAGTGAGGTAGCACTCCCAGTAAATAAGCCAAGCTCTCGAAGTGATACCAACAATTTACTCACAGTAGGGTACTCGTGTCTAGTATAATATGTATAAACATGGTTACGAATAGCGTCTGCATCGAACGTGTCGATACCTGTTACAGGCTTGCTTTTCTTCCTCTTTCTAGGCGTATGTAATACGTTTTCTTGAGAGCCGGAAGGCCCATATTTTTCTTGTATGATGGTGTGTACCGTTCTTTTGCCGATTCCAAGTGCACTTGCGACGCGATTTTGCACTTGTGTCACTGGTAATAGAGGTCCACCATTAAGTGACTCCCTTTCGAAATAGTCGTGTAATTTCACAACCAGTTCGCGAGTCTGGCTATTTAAAGCACGTCCTCTTTTCGACATGTTGAAAAAGAGTTCACACAGAATCAAGTCCAAAATATCCAAGCCAAGGTCAACGAGATTGAAAATAGAAGTAGTCCAAAAGCACAGCCGAGTCACAAGAAAAAACACCACGAATAACCAAGCGTACAGTCAACTTCCAAGACGGCGAAAGACTGCGCGGGCGCCGATGCAGAGTGACGCTAAATCGACATCAGTGTTGCCGTTTCAGAATTTGCGATAAAGAAAAGGAAATACAAATCTGACTTTACGGTTCTGTCTACTATAAATACTAGTATACTCAGTCTAATTTTGTAAGCACTTTAAAATTTTTGTTTTTGTAATTAAATAAGTCATTTTTTTAAGTGAAACCGATTTGACTCGATGATAGTCGGCGCGTATTGGTTACAACATTATTATTAAAAAGAATTATTTCTTTGTAGACTGAAGATGTAACTGTTTATAAGACGTTTCGGAGTAACCCAAAATTGGATTTTATTTTGGAATTCCTGCGAAAATAATACTTGAAATATGTTTCTTTCATAATGTATAGACCTTCAATAAAATTTATGTATTTTTTTTAAAACCCAATAAGTTATTAATTGCTTATTTACTGTTTCGTTGATTGCATTCAACGTTACATACTATCGACTGGTTTAGCTGTCAAATATGATCTATTATTTTGTGACGACTTTAGTAATTAAATAAGTCATTTTTTTTAAAGTGAAACCGATTTGACTCGATGATAGTCGGCGCTTATTGGTTACAACACTATTATTAAAAAGAATTAGACTGAAGATGTAACTGTTTATAAGACGTTTCGGAGTAACTCAAAATTGGATTTTATTTTGGAATTCCTGCGAAAATAATACTTGAAATATGTTTCTTTCATAACGTATAGACCTTCAATAAAATTTATGTATTTTTTTAAAACCCAATAAGTTATTAATTGCTTATTTACTGTTTCGTTGATTGCATTCAAAGTTACATACTATCGACTGGTTTAGCTGTCAAATATGATCTATTATTTTGTGACGACTATAGTAAAGTAAATAGTAGAAAATTCAAACTATACAATCATATCGCGATTTCTCAAAAACATTTCAGTTCAAATAATTAAAGTTTTTGTTATTACACATTTGCACATGAACATACTAAATTTTATTGTGAATAAGACACTGAGCGTACTAGTGATTAAAATAATTACGTGATAGCATTGCACCGGTTTACGATTCGTCGGCTTTGCGTGCCAAATACGACTCAGTTTTTTTTTAAAGAATTTTCCTGATGATTTAGAACTTTCTAATATAGGCCTAGAAACCCATTGATATGACTCTGTGATGTGTCAAACACTTCAGTTTTGACTAGAGATGAAACGGATAGTGATTTGGCCGGATACCAGATATCCGGCGAGCACTTAGGCTGGATAGCCGGTATCCGGCCGCCGGATATCTTACCCACTAACGCGTACTGCCGTAAACATGTCGCGACCGGTTTACTGTTACGTGTTTACGGTTATTGATTCGTGAATGATTGCACACTGACGATAATGTGGCCACTTGATTTTTATAAAACCGATTAATTTATTCGATAATACAAACAAATTCATAACAGAAAAACAGTTAACAGTGAAATAAAATCGCAAATTCGGGCGCTGAAGAAGGAAACAAGTAGTTACATCATTCTTTGGCTATATTAAAATTTCTAGTTGTTATAAGTATAAGCCTAGCACTTGATCGCTTCGACTCGATCGATTATTATTGTGTTTCAATTTGATTTCATTAATTTGTCTGTGATCTAACTAATTCTAAGCCTTGAGTCTAAGTCTGGTAGACTTACCAAAAAAAATCTACTTACACATTTCATTATTGTAGGTACCTTTACATTGTATTTGAAGACAGTTCAAAACGATCGTGATCGCGATCCTTCAATTTGGTCGTCTGGCAATAAAAAGTAGTACTTATAATTTAACAAAGTTTGTAAGAGTTTATAGTGAAAAACTGTCCTCTGAAGCTGGTCTATGAAAATAAATAGAACCAACTTTTACCACTTAATGCAAAAACAACTGGTCTTCATCCACCATAATTTGCCTTTATTGAAATTAGAGTAACAAATTTAGAGGTAACGTTATCTAACTTCATAATTCTTTCAGTTTCAAGTAATAAACAGATGGTCAACGATCCTGTAGTTACTGTTTATCCTATTACTATTATCTTTAATCAACAAATAAATTTATTTGGCGTACTGCTTATGAATTTTTTCTTACTTTTAAACATCCGGTGTCCGGCCGGATAGTAAAAATAGGCCGGATATCGGATAATTACCGGATATCCATTTCATCTCTAGTTTTAATTCAAATTGATTATACTTTGCGTAAATTCTATATTTTCAGGAAATACACAGAGAACCGGTTGAGGGTACGCCGGGTGGCAGTGGCGGTGTTAAAGGCATGTCCACACAGGAGGCTGAGAGGCAGTTCCTAAAAATTGCATGCCAGCTGGATACGTATGGCATTGATCCACATCCTGTTAAGGTAAGAACGGACACACACCTGCGCCTTGTTGCACTTTGCCCCAGCATTGGGTCATCTTGCCTCAGTATCGGGACACTAGCCCAGGTGTAGCCCAGTGCGCAGCCTTCGATTACATTTTTGTCTCTATCTAGAAGACTAAAGGGTATTTTTTCCCTTGTAATATTAAGAACATTTAGTACTACTATTTTCTTTATACAATGCCACGTAAATACAGCGATTAATTTAAAAAATAATCTTATATGAAATATTGTACGCAGGACCATAGAGGCAATCAATTATACCTAGGAATCAACCACGGAGGTATAATGACGTTCCAAGGAGGTCGCAAGACGCATCACTTCAAGTGGTCCGAGGTCCACAAGATCAACTTCGAAGGGCGCATGTTTATTGTGCACCTTAATTACCCTGAGGTAATTTATTCAATAAATTGAGAGTTGAGGTCCGTGTCATCAATGAAGCATGCAAAACTCTTTTTTTGAATGGTATTATCTCAAAAGTACCATAGACTACAAAAACGCATGGACATGTCTGAATAAGAATATTATTTTTCTCAGTACTATATCAAAATTGCATCATTTTCAGAAGAATGCGCTAATGTCCGTTACCATCTTTGTCATCCAAATTTATATTAAGAATGTTGATTAAATAGGTACCTTATGTATTAAAAACTTTTATTATTATTGGATACAAAGATCGAACAACACAAACCCATACAAAGATCTATGCCTCTATCATGAGATTACAGTGACAGTTCTCGTTAGCGACCGCGTAAAATGTTTGTATATAAAATGTTGTTTCTTCTTATGACCGCTAGAGGCGCTGTATAATTTGCCAAACAAAATTTTGAAGTAACTTACGCGGTCGTTAGCGACAAATGTCACAGTCATCTCGTGGCAGAGGCACAGGAAAAAGCACGTAAAGAAATACGTAAGGGTGCGTTCCCATTATGTCGTAACATTTTATTTATCGTTAGACGTCTGTCGCGTCTAGCTTGGTCCCATATCACGACTATATCGTTGAACGACTATCGTGCGTGTGTAGCTGTTCCCACTACAGTCATGGCACAGTTCACGGCAGTCGCCTTGTCGTTTGCACGACAGAATGGTTTGAGTTGCGATTATCTGTCGTTACATTTTTATCGTAACGTTATATTTATCGTCTGACGACTGTCGTTCTAGCGCTTCCCATTGTCACGACAGTCTGTCGTCGTAACGTCTAAAAAGGCGTGATCGACAGTTAATCGTGTCGTTCTATATGTAAACAACCTTTTTTAAATATACAAGCCACGACACTTTAAACTGCACGAGTATTTGTCGTCACGACATAATGAGAACGCGCCCTAAGATTTGCTGACTCTAATGGTATCTGCACTAAGTTTGGTTGACTTGATCTATAGCTTAGTTGGTAAGAGATTGTGGCCCCGGTGTGGCAATAGACGCTGGTTAAGTCCAGTCAGATCGAATGATTTTTTGTGTTAATCGCTTTGTATCAATAATAATAACAAACTAGAGTATTTTCACAAGAAACATGAATATCATGTTAGGTAAAATATCATGATATTCAATAAAACGTAAACTGTTATTTTCAGAAAAAGCACACAGTGGGCTTCAAGTGCCCGAGTGGCGCGTCCTGCCGCCATGTGTGGTGTTGTGCTATCGAACAAATGCTATTCTTTACGTAACTATTACCTTATTTTTGCCTATTATTTTTTGTCATAATACATGTCAAACGTAGGTACATATATGTACGTGTGTGTTGCGCTTTTGTACGTATGAATTTCTTTATCATTTCAATTTCTATAAAGTACACGTGTATACGTGCGTGTTATGTATACAGGGTGGAAAAAATCAATGGGACATGAAGGGGGTCTTTAATTGTAAGACCCAATGTTTATTTACAACTGCCTCATGCTGGACTGTCACGCAAGAGGTTTTGGGTTCGATTCCCGTGCCGGGAGAAATATTTCTATGGCCTACATTTATTTCTCTCGTGAGTTTGGGCGTAATTTGTGGTTGTGTATGTGTGTGTTCATGGCACCCGCGACGCAGGGTTTCCCTAGTGCGGAGCTAAGAGTGTGTAAAAAAATATTTGAGTTTATCCTTATCATTGATATCATTGATTAGTACAATAAAATAGTTAGTTTTTTTATGCATTTTTAGTTGGTTCGCTTCCCGGTTTAGGTAAGCTATTAAAAAAAATGCAATTATTCATATTAAGAAAAATAATAGAAATAAAAGAATGAAAGAATTTTAAGTAAAATTGGCTATCTTAAGGTATCATTTAAGGTACTTTCCCCTCATGTCCCATCGTTATTTCCACCCTGTATATATATTTCTTAGTAATTTTAATTTCTATACAATTTATGTGTCAATGTCTCGTAATGCGTGTTTCTTGGCTTTTAAAATTTTTTAACTGCTAGGCTTTTTTAAATGAAACTATTTTTCCGGATTTAAAATGCGTATATTGTTTTTTCAAACAAACCGACCGACGACGTTTCGGGCCCTTTACAGGTCCCAGTCAACCGTGACCAGAACAAATATACGCGATTTAAATCCGGAAAAATAGTTTCATTTCCTATGTGTAACAATCGCGAAAACCTAAGAACTTGATATTTTTAACTGCTGCTAACATCTTTCTACTCCCTGATATCCTGAAACAAAACTAGGTTTTCTTATTTAATTCACGAGTACAGTCACGTCTGGCTTGTCCATGGTCGCAGATTATATAGCCTTTATTTTGTCTGTGTTACAGATTGGCATCGTCGTCAGACGCGTGTGTGTATTCCGGCGGCGGATTATTCTCATGGGGCACCAAGTTCAAGTACGTGGGTCGCACCGAGAGGGAAATTCTCGAACGAGACGGGCTGCTCGCGCCTAGGGATCATCAGGTCCTCCATTGGTTTCACATCTTCTAACACATTAATCTTAATAGCCGTCTCTTAAGGCCTATGCCCTTGATCCTCCAATAACCTTGGAGTATTAGCAAGAATAAGAATAGGCTAGTAGTATAAGGGCAACAGGAAATCTATTCAGTCAACTAACTAAAAAAATTATAAATTGTTTATTGAGTTCTCAGGTTGCATTAATGTTAGACATAATTGGTTTATGACTTTACCATCTCAGTCAGCCCTGTCCACGGTACCTGTAACGAGCCCGAAACTCGCTCGAGCCGTATAATGTACATTGTGTATTAAAGACGATAAATAAGAAATTACTAACGAGAATCTATTAGAAGCCCGAAGCCGACGACTGAGGGCTTTAATAACTTGAGTTTTGTATTTTCGTACCGTCCGTGATACGTACAATGTTTTTCATCGCATTTGCGATAAAATAAACGCACATTCTTGTATGAATAAATATGATTCACAACATAACAATTATGGGTTTTGCAAATGGCGGATATTTTGTTTTTTTTTTTCAACAGATGGCCAGCTACGTATTCTTCCATAAAACACCTTAGACTTTCCTTTATTTGTTTTCCATCCTCTAAGGGACTTTCCTTTATTTTTTTTCCATTCTTTATACAAACTCGAACTAAAATGTTGTAAAAAGCAGAGACGCATATAGTCATGATGGATGTTAAAAAATAATTCTAAATTTTTATACAGACAATAATTAAAATCAGATAAAACCAGTTCTTAACAATAAGTATTTAAGTAGCATGTGTCTGAATAACAATTTAAAAAAATTGTGAGCTCGTGCCGTGTGATGCCGCCTTTATAAACACGTCTGGTATCAAATAGTTTGAATAACAACGTGTTGTATGCAGGACGAGGGTTCTAGTACGAGTGGCGGCAAAAGGAAAGCGTCAAGTGTTCCTGCAACACCGTCGACTCCTATGACTGGAGATTTTGGTAAGAAACCAATCATTTTCTTTAATACCTCAGGCTCAACTGCCAATGTTAGGCTTGACTAGTTGTACAGTGATGTGACTGTGCCTGTGAGAACTATATTTCCCAATGGCTCAACTGTATTAGAATACGTTAGCCATTACAAAATTAGTAAAGAGAGGACTTAGTTCATTTATTTTCTAGTTTCATTTCAGTCTCTCTTTCGCTCTCAATCTCTGTTTCTCTCTCATTATTTCTTTTTCTCTTCCTCTCCTTCTTTCACTCTCTTTCTATTTTTCGCTTTCTGTTTTTCTTCTTACTTGTGCTTATAAAAGTGTATTTCCCAATGGCTCAACTACTCCTTATTGGTAGCAACATGTAAAATCCATTTATTTGTTTTCATATAAATCTAAGATTTACCAATAAAGACTAGGCTCTAACAGTCCATTTGTATTTATTATTCTCTGTCTCTGTCTTTTATTTGCTATTTCCCTTATCTTGACTTTAGTGTCCTCTGAAATCTATCTATTCTATTATTCATAGAAATGAACAATTGAGGCTGTCAGCGTAAAAGTGGTGTAACCCACATAGTTTTTTTTATCTACAGTATTATTTTAAATGATACTGAAGTACATAATTATTTTATGTTTGGATACTATTTTCATGTATAAAACATATTTAATTTTTTTTGTATGTACATGAAAGTATGCTTCCGACTTTAGTATCATTTAAAGTAATATCGTGAAGAAAAAAAATATTGTGGTTACACCACTTTTGCGCTGATAGCCTCAATTCGGTTTACATATGCAGTTTTTTTTAAAAGTATTTTGCTGTTTACTTACATCTTTCTTAATTAGGTTAATATTACCCGTACATGGTACTGAGAATTTTTTAAGATTTATTTTATGATCTATGAAAATTACAACTAGAAACGGATGACAAACACTTTCTACTGCAGGGTTCATTCAGTGAACACGAAGGGATTTTTATAAAAATAATTCCAACATGAAGGTGTATTTCTGAAAAGCATCCCCTAGGAGGACGAAAAGGTCAAGTGCAATATTGTTAAAGGGTACAGCAGCTTGCCGCGTTCGACACACAGTGCTCCTTTGGAAGAGAGCGCGTCGGTTTCGGCCAGCGAGGCCTGCAACGGAGGCTGCCTGTTGGCCGGGCCGGCGGTGGACATCGCACTGGCGGCATCGGCCTCGGCCCTCGGCGACGACAAGCCCGGTCAGTGCGCCTGCCATATTGCCGAAACTAGAATAGGTATTACCTCCATTATCATTCTTGTTTCACATCTTCGCTAACTGGGGCATAGCCCCTTGTACTAGTATACTGTGCTGCCCCCTCCACCCGTCTAAAATTAAGACTTATGTGTGTAAAATTTTCTGATTATCCGTGCGTTTTTTCACTTAAACGCCTAATGATTTTAGCACCATTGTTGTCATTTTGTTTACATTCATACTACTTACAATTAGGTTTTTTTTTAAAAGTGTTCGTGGGTTATTTATATATCCACTACTGTTAATAATGTAGCTAGCAACATGCAGCATGGGAAACAAGTTCTTTAATTGAAAGAAAATTGGTTACTTTGGATTAGCGGAAGGAGTGGCACAGCCTGTCGTAGCAATAGGGGATTATACCTCTAGATATTAAGGGGCGAGGGAAAAAAATGTACAGTAAATTAACGTGAACAATTGAGGCTATCAGCGCAAATGTTTTTATAATAAAAATATTTAATTATTAATTTTTTTTTATACGTGAAGGCAGAATTGATAAGAATAATTGCCCATGGTCCACCGAGGTGAGTCAGACAGGTGGTCCACGGGCGAGAAGCGAAAAACATCATCCAAATAGAAAATAATTATACAGGCTGTATATTTGAAAGTGAGACATATTCATACATGTCATAGTAAATCATGTTACAACTTAATATAGACTAAAATAAAATTTGGATATGGGATAGAACAAAAAATAAATCAAGTAATGTGTTTTGATGTGTACATAGGAATAAACCGATTCCCTTTACGCTTGATTTTGAGTGCAATGGGAATACTACCGAGCGAGTGCCGAGTGAGACAGCAACAATAACAATGATTTCACATCTCCCTTCCTACTTAGAACCGACAAAGCACCTCATTTCTCTAGAAAATAAAAATCACAAACTAAACCAACCTACGCATATTTATGTTACGATGAAAAAAGCTGTTATCGAAGTGATTGCGTTTTTATTTATGCTAATTATTTTTTACGTTTGAACTATCGTCGAAATGTTTTACGTACTAAAATAAGATAAGTTTATGATTTAGTAACTAGTTATAATTTAATAAGAATTGAGGTTTTTAGCGTAGTTAAAAATGTGAAATCAAATTATTTACAACGATGATATTTTTTAGTTATTTACAGTTTATTTACACTTACGCGATATGGAGCTGGTGTTTAAAATGTCCACCGTTTTCCACAATGCATAGTCTAGCACGTCGTAGTTAATTTTGTTTTAAATTGTTCAACACAAACACATTTTGTCTCACAGTATAAAATGCTGAGATAATCCTCTTATGCAACACTTCGACACTGTTCACCTCCTCCGCGTAAACTCCGATTTGGGAACATTTCAATAGCTCGCCTCACACTATCACCAGTTATTGCGTAAAGTAGCACCATCTTAGTCAATTCGACGTTAGAATAAATATCCATTTTGCGCGGGCGAGAGGCCCGTTCGCCGGGGTGCAGCCACATCGGGCGAGCGGAAGTACAAATAATGTACGTGCCTTCGCTAGGCCAAGGTCGCGCGTGCACTGTCTCTCCAATTTTCAGATGCGCCCGCGCCCCCACCCCCGATCGCCGTTGCGTCGGAGCAATAATAGTGATGTGCATAGATTTCGATAACTAATTTTGTTCACAAGTAGTAGTCGATAAAAAATAAATAAAAAGATATTGTTTTGTATAGTTTAAGTTCATCAGTTTATTATTTCTTTGGGTTCAGAATCAGGAATATAACGCACTCTATAAGTATGTCCCACTTTCAAATATACAGTCTGTATATGTACTTTGGTACCATTTAAAGTAATATAATATAACTTTTACGTTGATAGCCTCAATTATGGATGTCACGTAGATCAAATGAAAAAAGAAATTCCAGAGTTTCCGTGATTGCTACATTGAAAATGAAACGGTATTTCTCGGATTCACTACCTAATTTCAGTGGCAATTTATTTTACCCTGCAATATTATTTAATATTCGAGTAGTGTATCTTGAAACATTATTTAATAATTATACGATAATATACTTGAAAATTTAAATAATAAAAATTGCCACGGAAATTAGGTAGTGAGCAACTAGTCCGAAAATGACCGGAAACTATCCGGATTGTGAGCTGTGAGTGTGTAAAAAAATAGTTTCATTTCCCCTGAAAAGATTGTCTACAATGTCTCGATACCTGCAATGACCACTTGGACCTGTTCTGTTTTTATTTTGTTTTTTGTTACTTTGCTTTTTTTTGTTATTTTTTCGAATTTTGATTTTAGTTTTTTATTTCTTTTTCTCAAAATTGGGAGCATAATTTTTAATCGACTTCGAAAAAAGGAGGAGGTTCTCTTTCGACTGTATGTTTTTTTTTATGTATTTGTGAACCGATTTTTGATGATTCTTTTTTGTTGGAAAGAGGGTACCTCAGAAGTGGTCCCATTTAAATTTGAAGAAAATATTCCACCACTAAGGGTTGTTAACTAGGGGATTGGACGTATCGTAATAAGGCCGTGAAAATCATCTTCATTCACAAAGCAGTTTGCAATTGCACTAACAACGTGTTTAATTCTTGACGAAGTCAATTGCGATGCAGCGCTGGCCTCGGACTACAACCCGCGCGATTCCTTCGAGCACTCCTCCACGGAGTCGGCGGCTACGTCGCACACGCACATCACGCACACGGGACCCCCGACGGCTGCGGGAGGGGGCTCTAGCAACGAGGAATGGAGAGCACCCCCCGCGCCTGTCCCTCCCGCCTTACAACCCCCACCGAGACCCTTCAGCCTCCTCCGCGCGTTCGTACCTTCTTTCGTCTTCGTATGGATCTCCCTCGCGGTCTTAACTCTTCTGGTGTTCGAGACCGACTGGGCTCCGCTTCGGCCGCTCAAACGTAAGCCCGAGCTGGTCTCCCTCCGTCATCACTACTACGCGCCTTTGAAGGAATACCTGCGGAAGAAGGTCATCGAACTCTTCTGATTCCCGCCCGCCGTTATTTTAGTGGCGTGTTATAGTTAGAGCGGTATGGAACAAAACGCAGTGAGAAACTAGACATTTTCCCTTTTACAAGTTATATGACTTAGATTGTGCAGACTTTCTTGAAATAATCTTTCACTATTTGCGGCGACGTACTTTTGCTCTACTTTCTTAGCTGCGTGCGTTTCTATGGGTAATATAGTAATGACATAAAAGAAATTATTCACTGGCAAATATGTTGGCCGACAGACAGAGATTCTATAAGTCAAGTTAGAAATCAAGAGAATATAATCATATACATTTATTGTAGTAAACTAATTAAGTACCTAATCCGTTGGCGTTGGCATATCTATGCCTGTCATTCGGCCAACAAGTTCGCAAGTCAATGCACCCCTTTAAATTCCAAATTAATGGAGCTTTTGCGTTAATTCGAGACCGGTTCTCGAATATGAAATCCGAAGTGTCAAATTTTGTGAGACACATTAGTGTAGTTGGTAAATAATTGACCAGAACATAGTGTAGGCTTATTTTTGAATCGTTCGTTGATAAGAGGAATTGTACAATAATATTCATCCACTAGGATAGGCACTGCTACGCTTTGAAATAGTACAATTTATTTATAAGCTTTAGCACTCGTGTAATTCGCGCACAAACTTGTGATAGTTTACTTATTTTAGTGTATTGTTAAAATTGTGGAGTGATTTTTGAAACTAGGCACCTACAGTGAGTAAGTTGAATGCCATTGGGACTTACAGCGGGACATTCACTGTCAGACATATTGACCGACAGAAATGGGAGAGGTGTGAATTCTTACAGAAGTATATCGAGGTCTAAAGTTTTGCGATTGCTACACATTGGAATTAAACTATTTTTTTTGTTAGAATCGAAAATTGGATATAATAGTTTTTTCATCGAAACCAACATTTCCTCTTCCATAGTCACCGCTTACTGAGATGCTATTATTCCTTCTAACTTATTCTGGAATATAAGTTACATAATACGCAATTTTTTTTTGGGGTGCGTACAGATCTGACGAATACGCCGCGGACGCGCTGCATGTGCGCTGCGCGCGCGAACACGCGTGCTGAATGCGTGCAGTTAAATACATGTTAATATATGTGGCGCTCGAATAGCATGCGAACAGATCGCACAACGTAAAGCACATGTGCAATTCGCGAGCCTTTCGCAAATACGCGTATTTGCGGCGCACTCGCCACATCTGTATACCCTGTAAGACCAAGTCATTAGTGTGATTCATATCACACCAATGGCTTGGTCTTAAACAAGGGAATTCCCTGTGTACTATGAGTGCAGTAACGGAATTCACTTTGGGGTACTAAATAACACCCAAACCACTAACCACAACCAAGATGCCCAAGGTCATGCAGTACAGGAAATTCCCCAGTATGAGACCAGATCTTTGTGTGATTATCTGGCACATTTTTACTGGACTAATTTAGAAAAGTTCATTTTCTAAATTGGTCCTAACGGGAATCGAGCCAGGGACCTCCTCGTGTCGTCAATAGTCAAAAAGCAGTGCTCATGGCACCTGTAAATAGCCCCTAATGTTCGCCGTTAGTCGAAAGGGCGCATGTGACATAAAATTTTGTCATGGTACAGCCGTCATAAGTAAAAAAAGGCCGTTCTGTCACTATTTCTATTGTGATGTGAAGATTGTGCAAGAAAAAAGTAGATATTTTTCAGTTTGAAATCTTTAACTTTATTTTCTTGATTTTGAGTTTTTGTCACATGCGCCCTTTCAAGTAACGGCGGTAGTGTTGGTTTCTTTGAAAAAAAAACAAATATAGTATGCGATGATATGTCCGAAAAAAAATCTTTCGTTCCAAACTTAGACAAGTAAGAAAAAGTACAGCTGGTGAAACCGTACATGCAGATATGACTTGTCAACTTATGGGTAATAGGCGCAATGCAGTGCCCCTTAGATCTTTGCGATATAAAATTCTGAGCGCCATTGCAACTGTAAGGGAGATGCCGCACGAGCTGTTCTGCCGACGCGCGCTGTTTCAACGCGCCGTGTGGCACGTCGTTCTAATTTATATGTATAACCCAGTTGTGACGACGCTACGCCGACACAACGCGCGTGTGGCATCTCCCTTATGGGAATTACCACACGCTGTGGCAGTGCTCCTGGGTGATCCTTGTGATTTAAAGTTTCGAGTGGCACTGCAATTGTTATGGACAGGCGTGTCGCTTGCCAGTAGGTGCACGATTTGTTCGTCCCGTCATTTGGTATCATAAAAAAAGTAGTTTCGTATAACTCTATCCTTGCTCTGTTGTTCTGCATAGGTACGGCAAGTGCAGGAACTGATTAACGCTGACAATTTACGACCGTTATATCGAACGAAGACAAATTATTACAATAGGGTATTTTGCAAGTAGTGAAACTGAAATGCTTTTCTTAAATTGAATCTTTCTTTTCAAATTCAATATTTGACTGATGCGAATGTAGGAGACGAAAGAGAGTTAGATGGACCCGACCCCACCCCATATGGAGAGAGATATATCGCACATATTCTCGATGATCGCACATGACAACTAATATAGTATCGTGGGGTATCAATTCATACAAATTAACTTTAGTACATATTTAAAACCGTAGATATTGAATCGCAAATAAAAAAAAAGTATTTTGACTTACTTTTTACAATCTGACACGTTTAAGCTATTTATTACACTTATAAAATATCACGTTTATAAAAAATGTTTATCGCCTTAAGAATGGGCCATCAACTTCGCTCATTCTATTACGTTGCTCTGATAAGATTTACAAAAGGAAGAAAAACATTGAATATCAATCTCGAAAGTTAAATTTTTAAAATATTCATGATATATTTCATTCCATTGAATCTCAATTGTAAATCGCACAATCTTTTGACTTCACATTCCATTTAGTATCGTCTTCCAACTGACTTATTTTTTACGATAACTTTAATTTTTATAAAGTAGTTAATAAGTACATAATACAATTATTTGCTTATAAATGCATTTATTTTTATTGCACTATTTAATTATTTATTATTTTTAACCACAACAATGTCAATGTCGGTGTGCCATACTCATGGTATTTTACTAATGAATTAGATTGCTTAATTTACATACGTAGCTAAGACATTGCGGCTCCATATTTATTTGATATCGTACGGAACCCTGATAAAACGTGTGAAAATATTGCATTTATTTTTGTAATACGCATTTAATGCTTTAATATGTTTACATCAGAATCTCGCACAAATAAAAATGAATATTATACATATATAATTTATATTTTGTTAAGTTTTTTACTACAATTTTATGGACTAAGTTACACGTTATATACGGTGTGTTTGATTGCTTCTTTGTTGTTCCTTAGACCCTAGGGTCATATTTTAATTTAGTGACTGATGTTCCTTTTGTTTCTATTAAATGTAACACAATAATTTATAAGAGAGAAAGTAGTAGTTATTGTCTTTGAGAAATACATCTATGGGTCAGTCTATTTTTTTTACCGACAATCGGCTTTCCCTAAATTAAAAAAAACATTTTTATAATAAATAACAACACATCAATTTGTCCGTAGCCTCGATAGAACACTCACAAAGTACCAATTTATCTTATTTTTATCATAAATTTAAAGAAAACGCAGGAGATAAAATTTTGAAACTAAATATTTTTATTTTGAATATTTTCTTGAAGACTGATGAGTACCAAAAAATAGGTGACTATACACGGAACAGCTAATAATAATTTAAAAAAAATCAAGAACTACTATGTAATACTGTCGGTGCAAAAGTTGATTGACCCGTATACAAATTAAGGGATTATAATAATTATAATTAAAATTGTAATATATTTTTATGGTATGCGAACTGGTAAACTGACATAATTACGAAGTTATCAACAACTGCACCTTAAGGACGCTTGTACTGAATATTGTTATCACTGGTAAAAATTCTGTTTTGAACATCTCCAAACTTTAATTTGTTAACTAAGGGTTTGATGACAGCACAATTGTGGACAGGTACTTGACCAATGCAAGGGTCAGTGGAGAAGAAATCCAGTCTTGTCGAGAGTCCATGGTTAGTCGTTTGAGTTTGACACTTAAGGCAGTCTCCGATTGCGGCGACGCCAATCTTGTAAAATTTAATGCTACCAAAACGCAGGCGTGTCTTTTCTCCACTAAATAGAGTCCCTTTCACCTGACTCCGACTTTTCGTGATATATCTATACCGATAGCCTACCGTCTTCAGCTACTTGGAATCGATCTGTCGTCCAGTCTGAACTTCGTCAGACACATTGAATGCATGGCCACAAACACAGCCAAGAAGCTTGGCATCCTTTCTAAGGTGAGGCGATACTTCACACCGGACAGTTGCTTCAGCTGTACCAAGCACAAGTCCGGCCGTGTATGGAGTACTGCTGCCACTTATGGGATGGCTCTGCTAAATACCTACTGGCCACCTTGGATTCAATAGACAAGCGTGCAAAGAGGCTTATAGGTGACTCGGAATTAGTAGAGACGAAGCTGCAGAGCTTGAATACCACCGTAAAGTTGTCTGCTTATCGGTATTCAAATGATATATCACGGAGAATGTGCGATGGAATTGCATAATTTGATTCCGTCTTCCCTTTTCCCTCATCGGGGGAATAAACGGGGGTGGGATTCCACCCCTATGTTGTGGATATTCCCAGGATTGGTACGAAGCGTTTCGCTTCCACACTTATGTAGCGAGCGACTAGATAGTGGAATTCCCTACCTGCGAACTTATTCCCCGAACGCTATAACTTGGACCTTTTCAAGGCGAGAGTGAATAGGCATTATTTAGGTGTGTATGCTACGTCGTCGACCTCATCATCACTTTCCATCCGGTGAGATGGAGGTCAAATGCGTACTTATTTTTTATACAAAAAGGGGCGGATCTTACTACCCACCACGCTACAGCACTACTTCTATCTAAAAATGTATTTTATATGGGAAAATCTGTAATATATTTGATGCTGAAGCGGTATAAAAATGGATGTATGAAGTGCTGAAGCGTGCTGGTAAATGTGATTTAACCCTTTAAAATCAGCATATAAATGTGCCAAATTGTCACTTTAATAACTAGACCTTAAAACTTAGGAATTCCGCTATGAATAAAGAGGACAAGTTTTAAAACTTAGACCAAAATAAAACTATAAATTAGTTTCCGATATTGGTTATACGTTATACGTGAAGCGCACCGCATATCCCGGAACCTGGAATATGCTTAGTCACAGCGCTACCAAAGTCAATTTCAAGTCAATGAAAAATAATTTAGACAAGCCAAATTAGGAGTTTGGAAGTGTGTGAAACTGAATAATGATTTATGTTTTTTTTTAAATTATGTTTGTTTATTTTATTTTTACACAATTGTTAATGCCTTATTAGGAGTGTGGGTTAGACTTAAGTAGCTTTATCTATATTTAATTTTAAGTCTGATAAACGATAGTGAACGAAGTAGTTGTCTACTAATAAAGATACGTTTTTTTACGCTGGACGCTGATAGTAATCTGCTGTTATTAAGAAATAATCAGCGCCTAACGTGAAAATCAGCAGGTATTTCGTTTATTCGCTAACTAGACCGTGAGCCCAGAATCAATTGAGAAATATACTTCACCGGCCTAGACGAACCTTTTCAATTTCGTGCAAATAGTTTTATACAAGATGTAGGTTTTATTTCTATTTAATGGTATCGAAGAATATGAACAAGTTTTCTTTATGAGAGACCCCAGAGGTCTCATAGGTTTTGTTCGTGTAGGTACTAACATTTACACAGAACAGCTGATGACAGCTCTGCATAAACA